TTAAACGCTCTTATGAGGAGAAAACATTTGAACAGAGACCTGAATGAAGTACATGGGAGCCATAGGATGAGGAATCGCATCTCAAGGAGAGGATAGAGCAAGTGCAAAAGGCTTCCAATAGGAGTTGTCTTGGTTTGTTTTCATAAATAGGGAAAAGGTCACTGTGGTTCAAGCAGAGAATAAGCGGATTGTGGTGGAGAAAAGCAGTAGGGGCGAGAAAGCGTGAGGCCTTCTAGGCCACAGTAAGGAGCGTGGATTTCAAATGTGCTGTTGCTGGGTCTGAGGAACTGTGGTGTGTCGCTCAGGTGACGCTGTCTCTGAGCAGCTAGAGAGAAGAGACAGTTTACGTGAACAGAGAGCACAAAGACAGCTCTGTGAGTCAGCTCACCCAGCTCCAACTCCACCTTGAACTCAGAGCATTACAGTTCAGGGCCCAGTGCCCAAGAGAGAGATGGGGGAGGGTCCGATGGTGGCTGAGGTGAAAGAAGAACCAGTTGATTCTGTGTTTCATTCACCTTGTCCACATGAGGGTGTCTGAATTATTAATAAGTGTTCAAATATTTGAAAGCTGGGATCTCTCTGTATATGCAAAACCTTCCACAGATGCTTACTAGGTTCCAATCTCCTTTCAGCACCTGATTTGTTTCATTTCACAGAAACTTTATAACAGCTCCATGAGACAGGTACCCTGAACACGCCCACTTTACAGATGCAGAAGCTAAAGTCCAGAGAGGTTGAGCAACACATCCAAGGTCAATAAGTATGGAGTTGCTGTGGTCAGAGCAGGGGCAGGTGAAGCCCACCAGGGAGGCACTTGAGAGAACCAAGGAGCAAGCTAAGAAGTCCCATTTCTGAGGCCCCCTCCATTAGGACACGCTATGAGCTTAACTCCGCTACGACCTCGCTGTGAAATGTGACATTTGTGTCAGTCACTTCAGCACTTGATTTTGCCTCTTGTCTTAGTTGTAAAGGGTGATTTAGGAGTTACGTGGAAGAGGGAAGTCGGATGAATAAAATCAGGGATGTGGCGTAAGCAGGCAATGTGGTTAATGGGAAACAACGAAACTGTCAGCAGCCTAGTGAGGACCTACATGGGCACCATCCAGAATGGCTGGTTGAGAACTGTGGGCTCCCCGAGCCTGAGGCCAGCTGACATCTTAGCCACGCTGCAGCCCTTTCTGAAGCACCTAGTCTCAGCATGGTTTGGCGGATGTCCTGACTAGCTGAGAGATTGTTACTTCCTGATCCAGTGGTGATTACTTCTGAAAGATGGGGTAATAACAACAGCTATCATTTCTGAGCATTTACTATGCGCCGTCACTGTGCAAAGCATTTTACACACATTGTCATATTGAATCCTCTCAAAATTCCCAGTGGCCTCACCCTCGTTCTGGCCCTGCTGGGCATTATGATTGCTTTCATTGACAGACAGAGAAACTGAGATTCAGAGAGGTGAAGTAATTTCCCCCAAATCACACAGCCAGCAAACAGGTGAACTACGTCTCTCTGACACCTGTGCTCATTTTCCTACATTCAGTTGCTATGGATTTTTTTTTAGATTTTTCTTGGGGTGGGGGTTTGGGGGACTCTTTTCTACTCAATAGAAAACCTGATCTATTTTTCAGTAAGGTTATTAATAGGTTGAACATTCTGTGAAAACATTTCCATCAACCGGCCCTGAAATGTTCTGAAATAAGTTTGGGAGGCAGGTGCCTGTGACAATTGAGGAGTTTAAGAATTTCACAGGAGAACTGAAGCCATATCAAAACCAGTCTTTATTTTTGTTCTTGCATGTGAATGTCACAACTAACAGGTATGTGAGGCAACCTGGCTTCTAATGGTTGGAAAAAAAATAAAAGAAATAAATTGTCATTCTTGGCATTTTCCCAATGACATTTGCATTTTTATTTCTATTAGAAGTCCATTTTAGCAAAGAAATGTAGCCTTAGTCACTTGAAACTGCTCTTCCCTAGAAAACAATTGTAAATGTAATAAGCAAAAAGAATAGAAAATGCCAACAGGAAAGAAGTGATCCACCTGGGGTCGGATTCATCATACAGACGGATTCCATTTTCTTCTGATATTCCCATTCAGAAAGGAAAACCTGGAAAATTTCTCTCAATTTTAGGGTATTTAAGATTTGTAAGGAGTGAGGGGAAGGAAGAAGGAATTCAATTGCAATTCCACTGGGTAGGCACCAAGCAGGGATTTCCCCAACTCTAAAGAACTATTTTACATATTCGAATCCTCTCACAGTTACTGAGTCCCTCTTCTGCATAAGGTATAAGGTTGCTATGGAAAGATACAATAAGGTCATGATTGCTTTAAAATTATTCATAATAAAAACACATTTTGAGACTTGATTCTAAATGTTAAAGTTAAATTTGAGCAATTCAGTTGCCCGTTGAATAGAAATGAAATCCCACCGGTCGGCAGTTATTTCTTCCAACCACTGTGTGTGAAATTGGAATCTTAAGATACCATTTCAAATATTCACTTTCTCTAAGGAAGTTCTCCCCAAAGAGTTGTGAAAGATAAGAAACTGACCCAAAGTCACAGGCAGTAATCACTCTTTCTTTACCCACTCAGGTCAAAACAGAAGCATATTATTTGAAGGAAACTGTATGCCCCAAAGTTGGCTGTTCAGGGGTTACCTCCTGGAACCCAAGGATATATTTATTTTAACAACTAACTTGAGCCCCATGCAAAACAGTAGCAAGGAAGTCAGCAACTTATCAGATTTAATAAAAGCAAGCAGTTGTAAGCATATCATCTAGTCACCAAGGTAGTGAACATTAAAATGGAAAATGCTTGTTTTGTTGAACTGCAATAAGAGGTGAGGTAAAGGGACCCTACTCTGTTTGCTTTTTAAAAATAGAAAATCACCCAGCCTGTGTGGCTCAGTGGTTGAGCATGACCCGTACACCAAGAGGTCACCAGCTCCGTCCCCAGTATGGGGCATGCAGGAGGCAGCTGATCCATGTTTCTCTCTCATCAATGTTTCTATCTCTCTCCCTCTCCCTTTCTTTCTCTCTCAAAATCAATACATATTTAAAATAAACAAACACATACATGAATAAATAAATAAAAATAAAACAATTTTTAATGTGGGTGGGAAATTCTTATCTTCAAATTTAATTTTAAGCTTTATTTATTTTTCACATATAACTGACACACAACATTATATTAGTTTCAGGTGTACAACATGATGATTAAATGTTTGCATATATTGTGAAATGATCACAAGTCTAGTTAACATGTATCATACATAGTTACAAACTTTTTTTCTTATGATGAGGACTTTCAAGATCTATTCTCTTAGCAACTTTCAAATACACAATACAGTATTATTAACTATAGTCATCATGCTGTACATTACATACCCAGGACGTATTTTATGTATAGCTGGAAGTTGGTACCTTTGACCATTTTCATCCACTTTGCTCACACACACCACCACTACCCAATGCAACTACAAGTCTATTCTCCATATCTTTTGTTTTTAAGATTCTACATATAAGTGAGATCACACATCTTCCTCTGTCTGATTTATTTAAAATAGCATAATGTGTTCAAGGTCCATCCATGTTGTCACAGATGGCAGGATTTCCTTCTTTTAATGGCTAATATTCATATATACAAAACATTTTCTTTTGCATCCTCACAACAACTGATGCAATAGGTCTGGCATCCCCGTTTTATAGATGAGGATACTGGGAGTTTCAATTCCTGCTGTGAGCCCAGGGTCACACCAGTGGGAAGTGATGGGTTGAAATGCAGGCAGTCTTGACTCTCTGAGCCTTGCCAAAGCTGTCTCCTCAGATTACAGAACTTTCCTAGGCCATGCTAGCTGTTAAACAAGAGCCTAGATCAAACCCAGGCAGTCCAATTCCAAAGTCCTGACATTTTACCACCACACTGACTAGTTGTAAGGATATAAACTGCCCATCAAAACCTGTATATATATTTTCACTTCTGACTGTAGAGTGGTAGATTAAATGTTTATCACATAATTTAGGCTTGCCTAAAAATTCTAGTGGTTTTCTTTTTAAATTAAAGACAAGAGTCTAAAAAAGAAGATTGAAAAACAAACAAAACCCAAGAGTCTGATCATGAAAATGTCTTTTTATATACTGAGGCCTTGACTTGGACCCAAAGCTGCGCTTAAGGCTTCCTTTCACCCACTCACACAGAGGGACAGATTTTAATTATACCCATTAGGGACCCAAGCATTGGACATGCACACAATAGTAAATTCTGGTTATACTTGTGAAAAGTCAGAATTTAGCTCTGAACAGGGAAAATGAAGCGCCCAGGGATTCCATTCTGATGTCAGTCACAACATTTCAAGGTGAACCCAGGCCCTTTTGTGCCATCTTTAAAATGGGAGTAGAATGTCTATCACTGTGATCCAGACTGTTAAAAAAAAACCAAAAAACAAAAAACAAAAAACACAACTACAGAGTCTGAAAGTAGTTGGTACTTTCCTCTTCACAAGACTTGTGACTGGCATCATGCACAAATAGGCCTTTAATATTAATTTCTGAATGTGATCATTTTCAAGGAACTCTGATGAGGCCCAAGGGACCCACAGTTTTCTATACGGAAGGGCAGATTATTGGCCTTCCCCTCTCCCCTTCTGTATTTCCTCTCTTCCTAGAATTTGCCCTTGAGGTTAGAGGGGAAACCTGAACTTCAAAATCAAGTCTGGCTTTTTCCTTATTCCCTGACCCAGGGCAAAATAGTCTCTTGATCATTGCTCTTGATCATTGGAAAGGCACTTTCTCTTGTGCAGAGTTATTACTGGCACTTTACAGGGGGCCAGTTTAACCGCAGGAGTCCGATTTTTGAAAGATGCTGAGGGAGGGAATTCAGCCGCCAGCAGATGGAGAGGAGAGGAGACTGGACCAGCGTGGTCCCTCCCAACCACCCTCCCTCTGGGATTAGCTGCCCTAGCAGAGCTCAGGCGTACCCAGCCCGTGCACTCCTCGCTCACATAGCTCCAGTCGCCTCTCTGGAGCACGGACGCAGTCACAAGCCGGCAGCCAGCAGAGCCAAGCTGTCTTGGGCATCCTTGCGCACCGCATCAGCGGACCTGGGACCTCGAACGCCGGACGGGCGCGAAAGGCACTCGGAACGCTTGCATTTCTGTATGTGCTTATTTCACATTCTTGTCTTTTCTTTCTTCCTTGAGCAGCCCGCTGGTTACTTTCAGCCTTAGTTAACCAAAAGAAAAGGGAATCGGAGAAGCCCTGAGAATGATTAGAGGCAACTCAGCCGCCTCTCCAAGGAGAGATGTTCACTGAGCGACTCTCCCTGTCCCCGATGCTGGCCCCTTTAAGAAGCCAAGTCTGTCCTGCTGCTGCTGCTGCTGCTGCTGCTGTTTGTATTGCAAATCCCCAGGAGCCCCGTTTAAAAAAAAAAAAAAAAAAGGAAGAAAAAACGGGGGGGCGGGGGTACCGGGCAGCTGTCTCTTTAAATGTGATTTCCTTCTATTGTATTTGAATCGTGATCAGGAAAAGGAAATGAAACCAGAGACAGAGGGAAGCTGAGCGAAAATAGACCTTCCCGAGAGAGGAGGGAGCCGGGGGAGAGAGGCACGATCCCCTCCCCGCCCCCAGGCTGCCGCCCCCTCCCAGCCCTCGGAGGCGAGCTGCGCAGCGACCCTGGGGGAAGGTGCGAGGGGCTCCAGGCGGCCAGGCGGGCGCTCACCATCCCCGCGGGGCTGCGTGGAGCGGGCGACAGCGCGCGAGCTGAGCTGGACCGGGCGGCGGCGGCGGCGGCGGTGGCGGCGGCGGCGGGACCGGGATGGAAGGTTAAGTCCTGAGCAGCAGCAGCTGCTGCAGCCGCCCGGGGCCAGGCTGCGCGCCCCGGTCCCCGCCTCGGCCGGCCGCGGTGCGCCGGCAGCCCGGTGATTCGCTCTCTCTCTTTGGCGTTTGAAGGGAGCGCGGCGACTGTCCTTGAGCGCGGAGGGGCGAGCTCGCCGCCGGAGCGCCCCAGCAAGAAAAGGCGCAGAAGCGGTGGTGGCGCCCGAGCACCCGAGGGGGTCCGAGCCCCTGCAGCCGGCCAGCCCCGAGCCACAAAGGCAGCGCCCCCGCCGCCTGGCACGCCACCTCCCTCCCCAATGTCCTCGGCCATCGAGAGGAAGAGCCTGGATCCGTCTGAGTAAGTGTAGCTCCACTGCCCCTGCCCCTGGCACCCATGGAGTCCACGGCCTCGCGCCCTGGGGCAGCTGGGTGGCGCCAGCGGCTGGCGAGAAGGCTCCAGGTGCGCGCCCGCAGCGTGCCCTTGGCTCCCTCTGCCTTGCGCAGGGCTCCCCCTTGCTCGCGGTGACCCCCGAGGCACTGGGGAAGGGGCCGGGTGTCAAGCGGTAGGGAGAGGGGGTCAGTCCTGCACCTCTGCTGGCCCCTCCTGGCTACCGGGGACGCTTCCCAAAGCCACCGCGGGCCAGAAAGTTTACACTGGAGTAGGCACGGGGCGAGCTTGGAGGCGCGCAGGTGCAGGAGCGAGAGCATTTAGGGCTTGATTCTGCTCCCTTCTCCCTACTCTCTTCTCCCCTCTCGTACCTTCTCGATCCCCGTTCTCTTTGTCTATTTGGTCCCGGGAAAGGGAACATTCTAGTGGAAGCTTCCCGAGTCCCCGACGGGCCCTCTTCCCAGTCCGAAGGTGGAGCAGCAGCCAGCAGAGCCGGGGACCAGCCAGTGAGGGGTGCGAGCGCCCACCTGGGAACTCACGCTGGCCTCCAGAGACTTTCGAGCAACTAAATCCGGAGTTAATCTGGATACCTGTACCACCCCCCTCCCCTCGGGGTCCTCCTGTGGGGGCCTGTGAACCTCGAAAGTCAGTACATATTTTGTGTATACTGTAGGTGAATTTTTCTGGCGATCGGAGTCCCAGCTTTTATCACAGTCTCAGAGGGGTTCGGGGTCAGAGAGAACTAGAGCTCTGATGAGCATTCGCCGCATTTGTTTTTTGAGCCTCTTACTGGTTGGAAGTGTTTCCCGGTCCCCAGCCTCTATACCTCCAACCCATTCCTTAGTGTTAAGGTGGGGAGGACGGGTTGTTTAAAATACCATTTTCCCGTCAGCGCAAATGCCCTTTTAAGATTCATTAGCTGTCTGGTTTTGAGAATTTTTATTCCTTTGAAGTCCCCCATCTAATCCTTTGAAGGGATTTGTTACACAGACCAAAGGAGCTGGTTAATGACTTGTCCATTTGTGCTTTTAAGAGGCATTTGTTTTGTTTTGTTTTCTTTCCTTTTCCTGCTTTAAAAGAATTGTGCTTTCCTGATTGAAGTCTCCCCTTCCCCCCATTTCAGCCTTCTTTGGTGTTTATATACCTGGGTTTTACCCTCAGTTACCAGCATAAAAGCTCAGCATGTTCTCATAAAACACAGGAAGTACCATGATCCAATGAGAATATAAACATCACTATTCAGTCTTGAGGGTTCAGGCGCCAGTTCTATACGGAGCTAGGTTTGTTCTAACAAAAACCCAGCTTCCTCACATTCTCAGGAGAAAAATAACATTTCTTTACACACACACAGACAGACACTGGGCTTAAGGGTTGGTTTGCTCACTTTTTTTTTTTTTTTACACAAACCTAGAATTACAACTTAGCTCTGAGTTTTCAGAGCCCGGGCAAGACCATAGTAATACTATAAGAGTGAATTGGATGAATCGGTGCCTAATGCCTTTTCGATCAGCTGAACTTAGTCACTAATCCCTTTATTAGAAGATAAATCTGGAGGTTTCAGTTCCCTGAAGGAAGTTTGCTCTTCTCAAAGTTTGTGCTTTTTTCACTGAGATGAGAAAATTGAAACATCCTCACCTCATAACACAGCAGGCCCCTATTGAAGGATGCTCATCCACTCCATCCTGCGCTTCACTCTTTGCCCTAGTGGAAGATGGACCAGCTAGTTGAGGAATTACTGCAGCACATTTATTTTAACCCCCCTCTCTCTTGAAAATTGTCAAGAAATTATCCTAGAAATACCGGATGAAATGTTTTCAGATGTAATTATCAGATAGGTTCTAGAGGATTATAAAATATTAATCTGAAGGTGAATCCCACTCAGTTATTGGCTTGGAACATCCACGAAAGATAATGTGACATTGTCATTAATTATAGAAAGGTAGGTAGAGCTAATATCTTATCCTGTCCTTTCCTATCTCAGGCTATCACAATAGCTCTTTTGCTTAATATCTTTACTGTGGACCACTATCCTACCAGATGCTTCATTGTGTACTTACTCAAAGCCAAATTGGGTCAGTGTGATCAGCATCTCCAAATTACAGATAAAAACTTGCCTAGGCATATGCAAATAAAACATTTAGACAGAATTCATGAACACAGAGGTTTTCTCTACTATGCAGTTGGTGGCCCCAGCACCTCCTTGTGAGTAACAAGAGCAGTTCATTTTAATTCCAGGCAGTTTTGCATCAGCTAAGTGCAAATTCTCCTCTTTCACAGTTGGTTGGCAGCATCAGCATCAGGGCATCCAGTGGTGTTGAGGTTCCCTCAGTGTTTTTGAAAGCCCCCAAGTAAGACCAGGGGCTGTGGAAAGAAGAGATGCAATTCTGGGTTGATGCACATGAAAAGGCTGGGGATATTATTTTTTTAGAAGGGAGAATGGAAATCCTTATGTCTAACCTGTGGAAACAAAGAAACACAAGTCAGGCTTCAGTGAACTCTTAAACCTAGTTTAAAGCCTTGAGTTTTTAAAAGAAAACCGGCTTGGGTTTCACATTTTCTTGTTCTAAAAGCAGATAATCTCATGAAGGATCCTTATACTCAATCTACAAAGTGTGGGCTTGGTTTTAGTTTTTCTACATAGTCACAGGGAGGTGTGCACTTTATAGACAGAGTCACCTGAAGATGTCACAGTGTATCACCAACACTGATTACCTGAGTCCATCGTCCCTAAGTGTAATGGGTGCTGAAGCCAATCAAGACACCAGGTCACCTGGTAAATTAGTGCCAGCTAGAAATAGGAAACACAGATTTATACCCTCAAGGAAGCCAGGGGGAAATTCCCTTTGGGAATTTCACAGTTGGAAGCAGGTCCATTTAAAACAAACAAACAAAAACAACAACATAATAGATATTTTAAAAATAGATTTGTGTTTGAGTAAGGTTCAAAGAGCACTTGTTAATTGTTACAAATCAACAGGTATTGGGTTTTTCCTATACCCCATTTGGTGCTAGAATCATTTCTCCTACTCTTTATTTTCTTTTGGCAAATAAAGTTATTTATTTTAAAATGTAGAAACAAAAGTATTCAGATTCAAGTTAAGCAAAGTCAGAAGCTATAAGACGTTTTAATGAAAGAACACATACCGCAGGCTCAGTATTAACAATTGCCTGGATGGAGATTTCATGGAAATAATTGTTGCCTCTCCCAATTTTCTATCCCAAATCAACTTTATCCAAACCAGTTTTGAAGTTGTAAATAATTTCACATGCAGGAAAGTCTGTTTGATGTTCTTGATAAGTTTAGCAATGGCCTTAACACCTGAGATTTTTCTGCAAGGTTTCATTAGGGAAGAAAAATGGAATAAGAAATTTATGTAAAAAATAAAATAATGAGACTTCCTATTATATCCTGATGGGATTCTTATTTTAGAAAGAGAACACAAAATCACTTTTGGTCACTTTCTTCTTTTTTCCTCACCTCTGCTTTGGTGCAGTCGGGAAGGGCTTGAGGGAGGGTAGCAGGCAGCATCCGTCAGAAATTTGCAGGTGTTCATCTCCCTAGATAGTCGGCTGTCCTGACGGTAAGCAGCCAGTTTCAGTCCAAGTGCCTCCTCTGGAGTTCGGCAGTGCGCCTGGGTCCGGGGTGTGGGAGGAGAAGGAGCAGAAATAGAGAAGAAAAGGAGGAGAGGCGAGTGAGAAAAAGAAGGGAGACCAAAGGTACCAGATGGTGCTGGGCTGGGCGTGGGCAGTACCATCTAAGTTGCCTCGGGCGCCTCTGCCTTTTGGTGCCCTGCATTTACTCCTTAAAGGACCTGGGATGTAAGGTCTAGCTCTCTCCTGTCCTAACCCGAGGCTGGCAGGGCCTCGCTGCGGTCCAGCCTGTGGACACGCGGTCTTGTCCTTTTTCTTTGTGTCACCCACAGACAATTGAGTGAGGTTCCCTGTTTGTTGGCCCAGAGTGATTCCTGACTGCGGTGCTTGCCTCACCAAAATGAGGTTGTCCCTAATGCTTGGCCCTCTTTCCAGGGAGCCCGTGGATGAGGTGCTGCAGATCCCCCCGTCCCTGCTGACATGTGGAGGCTGCCAGCAGAACATCGGGGACCGCTACTTCCTGAAGGCCATCGACCAGTACTGGCACGAGGACTGCCTCAGCTGTGACCTCTGCGGGTGCCGGCTGGGCGAGGTGGGGCGGCGTCTCTACTACAAGCTGGGCCGGAAGCTGTGCCGGAGGGACTATCTCAGGTACCCCCCCCCCCCACCTCCCGGGCCCTCGGCGGGGAGGACATCTCAGTCTGGGTCCATCTCCTGGCTCCTGCTACCTGCCAGAATGAGGTCAGGCTGCCAGGCTGAGTCTCAGCTGCCCCCTGCAGAGAAGCAGTTGGCATTTCTTCCTGTTGGAGAAGCCTGTTTCCCTCCATTCCTGCAGGGCAAAATACTAATAGTGTAAAGGCAAGAGGATGATAAACACCAAATTCAGAATACTTTGTAAGTTCCAGGGTAGGCTCTTAGGAGCTCATTTAATGCTTCGAAACATACCTCCAGGTTATAAATATTCTTTTGTGTGACTCCATATGACGTGAGGAGAAACTTAAAAATAGAAAGCGTGTTCCCACCATGGTGCTCCAAGCATGTGACCGTCCCCGTTGGAAGGCCCTGAAGTCACGTGTAGGTTTGAGCCCCAGCACCATTGCTTCCTAGCTCTGTGGCCGGCGGCAAGTTACTTCACTTTCCTAAGCCTCGATGCCCTTATCTGTAAAATGGGGATAATAATAATACCTACTTTCAAGGAGGCGAAGGTTCAATGGGGTAGTGCACACAAGGCGCCCGATTTGGTGCACAAGTATCACATAGAGGCTGGGTGCTCTGTAACTAACTCTCCTGGCATGACCATTGAGACTTCTGTCTGAAGAACGAAGAGAAGGGAGGATGGAGGGCATACGGGAACTCTGCAGTACTCAGACAAGCGCTGAGGATGGCAATGCTGCGGGTCATACATACTGCTGGCCACTTGAACGTTCCAGCAGGGCACTCGCTGAGTCCCTTTGCCTGGAATGTTCTAGCACTTCCAGTTTCACATCAGCTGCTGTGGAGGGAACTCTGTGCCCTCTACTGTCAGATCTGCTGAGCTGTGTAGCTGTCAGTTTTGTGCCATCTTCCTTGGCAGAGGGTCTGCGGAGTAGGCAGCCCTAATACATGAGGACCACCCAGCCCTGGGGAGCCCGTTTAGACTCCAGTGCCCTTGGCTGCCAGGCTAAGCTCTTCCTCCCCAACCCCCCTCCCCGCCAAGCATTTTACGTTTAAAAAAAAAAAAATGCAGGCAATTCTACAGTGAAGGGAGCTTATCTGTTTACTGAGAGACTGATAGAAAAAGCTTCCCCCCCCTAAATTCCCTGATAAAGTCCTCGCAAACGTGGTGGTTCAGAGAAAATAAGCAGGGTTTTCAATGATCATGATGATCATTTTGGTCAGCTGCTTGTAAGTTATAAGAAAATAGAACCAGGATAAAGAGAGACTTGATTTTGCTCGCTACCAGTTTGCCAAGTCAATGCAGAAAGCAGACGGGCAGCCGATCCCCATTGGGCCCCCTGACTACATCCCTGTCACATCATTTGAATCTTATTAAGTGAAGTGCAGATAGAGGAAGGTCAGAAGAGCCCGGGCTTCTCCCTATCTCTACGGTTTTTATGTAACATTCAAGAATAAACCCAGAGCTGCCGGGGCTTGTTAATCTTTTCCATTTTTAAAAAGGAGAGAGAAATAGTCTGGGAGAACCCAATGTTAATTAACTTGTGTCTTGGTGACATGAAATAATTCTTTTCCCTGCTACATTCCTAGGCAACATGTTAATTAGCTCTGTGTTAGTGCGGGGGTTCCAGCCATCCTTTAATATTTGTATTATTGTTATTAACATGGCAGGAGAAAGCTTAAGACCTGACACCTCTTGACAGAGGAGAAAAATCTTTTTTTTTTTTTTTTGCTTTAGGGATGGTCCTTTAGCCATGGATTTGTTTGCATACATTTGCACGGTATCTGTCAGGGCCTTAAAATGGACATGTCGGAGGAGGGACTCTGGGTCCGGTGATGGGGTTCAGTTCTTCCCACTGAGAACTTCTGAGCATCTCCAGTGGCTGACTCACCAGTTACAGTCTTTTTCAAACATTTAGCCTCAAATATTCATGAGACACTATGCAGAGCCTAAACCCTGCACTGTTACGTTGTGTTGTGTTGTGGGGAACCTAACACTGTTAGCTGTTAATGTGAGTGGTGGCCCAGATCCCCTCCTTTTTACCAACTGTGTGAGGGCACCCCCCCTGCCCCGCCCCCAGCCCCCAGCCCCCAGCCCCCAGCCCGTGGTTTCACTTTCAATAGCCAGCATCTGCATCTGTTAGGACCAGAAGCACACCCACTCCCCCCAGACCCCCAGAGCACCTTAACCAATGACCAGCACCGCAGGAGCACCAAAGCCCTGGAGACATAACTTACACCCCAGAGTCCCTTCCCAGCAGGCCAAAGCCACCCTCCCTTCCCTACCCCCTGCCCCGGGACTCTGCGTGCAATGCACGCCCTCCTTGCCTTCTGTCCAGGGTTCCTTGCCACCTAGCTGTTTCCTGAGATCACATCTTCGAGAACGCACCTCAGGCTCTGCTTCTGGGCATCCAGCCTGAGGCACAAGTTCTCAGTGCCCGCTGTGAAGGCTCAGGTTGGATGCTGAGTCCTCGTGTGTCTTTACTGAGTAGACTGTCAGAACCCCTGGGCAGGAAGGGGCTGCAGAGGCCTTCTCCTCCGGGTCCCCTGCTGTCCAGCTTAAGACGCAGAAGCCGGGAGAGAGGAATCCGATGCTGCAGGGCACCTGGCTTGTTAGAGGTGATGCTAACTAGACCTGAACTTGTCTCCCAAATATTACTCCCTCGTCCTTCCCTTCATTAGCTGCCTGATGTGTAGTGTAATCTACCCCCGACTTCCCTTTAATAAACGCTCTCCTTTCTTAAGGGTCACACACCCCAGGCGGTTGGCTTCATTTCACACACACTGTTTTGTGAGTCGTTTATCCTTGCTCAGGCCCCGACTCAACTTACTGAACAGTCAGGAAACCAGAACTGTCTTTCCACTCTGTGACCTCCAAGGTGGCAGTGTCCCACTGCTCCGCCATCTGCTGCGTTGGAATAAAATGCTCTCCCCCAGTAATGAGTTTGCTCCCAGGTGGTGCCTTGAAACCGCTCCGAGCTCTTCAAATGGAAAGCGGAATTCAGAGGGAAATGAGCTGGCCCTGGCTCGAACCCGAGTACCCACAGACCACGTCTTCTTGATCCCTTTAATTTTGCCCAAATGTTTCAAAATTTGTCAACTGCCCTTATCTCCCCTATCACCCCTCAGAATGTACCGGTTGAGTCTCTGCTATTCTGAAGTTAATAAGAACTTCCAATAAGAACAAACATTTGCATAAAATTGTCCTGAAGTTTTTGTGTGAAAAGGACCCCCTCATGTGCCCTGTTATCAAGCACGTGTGAAAATGACTTCCTGTTGCAGGACTGGTGCAGCTGGGAAGACCCAGCTGTGTTAAGAGACACAACCAGCGTTGGCTTAGTCCTTGGCCATCGGTGCTTTGACATACTCCCTTTGATCCTCCAGCAGCGGAGGGATGTAGATGCTATGCCCACTGTCCTTGCCCAAGCTCACAGGAAGCAGAGATTTCCCCAGCATCACTTACGCACTCAGGTGGTCCTGGACCGAACCTGGGTCTTCTGATTTCAATACTTGTGATAGTCCACTCTTGCAGGCTGATTCTCAAACTTCCAGAATTACCTGGGAGTGCTCATTCACACACAGAATGCTGTGCCTGCCCCACAAAGAGTGTCCCAACCCGGGGAGCCTGGGGATTTGCATTCCTGACAGGTTCCCACGTGCTGCAAATGCCGGTGGTCCCAGGACCACACTTTGAGAACCACTGTGTTGCATCTCTCACAGTGACACTGACTATTGCTTGAAATATTCAGTGATGGATCTACTGAGACTTAGGAGAGTCTTGATTTCAATGTCAGAAGAGAAGTTACTCCAAAGATTCATGGCAATGGGGCAGCGAGGACCTTGAGTTACGATCTCCCATTCAATGTGGGGAGATGCTGTTTGTCCCCCAGATCTCTGAGGCATGATTAACTGCACCCCGTGCTTTCTGTCCAACTCCCTCTGTCTCCCAGAAGCTGGGGTCCCAGTGGACGGTCATGTGGAGGTGCCCTTGTAGCTTATGGAGGAATTCAAAACCCACCTTCCTCACGGGTGGAATTAATGACTGTTGAGGTGATGGAATTTGGGAGTCTCTGAAAGATGCCCATTTCACTGCATTCTTAGTCAGTTCTCTCTCAGAGGGCCCCCAGCTCCTCTTCTAAAAGGAAAATCCCCCTGGGAGGGGACACAGGATACATGCCTAACCTCTTAACTTCAATCACCTCTGCTGAGTCTTTTCCACAGAGGAGGGGGCGGGGCAGCCTAGAGGCGTGGGGGATTGTGTTGCAGGCAGGGAGAGAGCTCAGGACAGGGACCAGTTATGCCAGACACAAATGCCACAGATGGCCGTTTCCTCCCAGAGTGCCCTCTTCCTTGTGGGAAAGACTACACGTTGGACATCTGTCTGAGCTCAGCGACCCCTTGCTTCCTGACATCCTGGAAATTCAGCCTACCTCTCAAGCCCTTTCTTCCGGTGTCCCTGCCACTGTCTTAGCCTTTCTTTCTTTCTTCCCCCCACACACCCTAGGCTTTTTGGCCAAGATGGTCTCTGCGCCTCCTGTGACAAGCGGATTCGTGCCTATGAGATGACGATGCGGGTGAAAGACAAAGTGTATCACCTGGAGTGTTTCAAATGTGCCGCCTGTCAGAAGCATTTCTGCGTGGGCGACAGATACCTCCTCATCAACTCTGACATAGTGTGCGAGCAGGACATCTACGAGTGGACTAAGATCAATGGGATGATCTAGGCATCTTTGGGGAGGTGTTTCACTGAAGTCACTGTCTCCGTGGGGTCTTCACTCTTAGGCACTTTGGGGATTTGAGGGTGGGATGAGACATTTCTTATGACATAATGCAAAGAATGATACCTAAATGTGACAAAATGAACAGCCTACAGGGAGAACTTGTGGACAATGGCCACACCCTACCCATAATAACTGACATGATTAGTGGAGGAAAGGATCATTGGGGGAGGAGACAGCATTTGTGTCATCATGATGGGACTTCACATCTACAGATAGGCAGTTGTGGAAAGACATGTTGTGACTTTGACCCTTGAGAACTAGAGATGTGCAATTGATTACTTCCTGGCTTTTATGGCAACCCTGTTCCAATTACTGTCCTCCACATAAGGGAAGGACAGAGAGGAGAGTGGCCAACTTCCCAAGGCCTTAAGCATTGGACCCAAGGGAAATTGCATGGAGACACATTTCAGTTGAGAACGGGAACTACAACTTTTAACCAAACAATTATTTAAAGCAACACTGATGAGTCACTGTTTTTAGATACCTTAGTTTTGAGGTGAGAAGTTCCACAGATTGTTTCTATACAAATGTAAATCTAAAAAAAAAAAAAAAAGGTTGTTCAACTATTTTATTATCTTAGATTATATGAAAGTATTTGTTGTGTGTAGTTATTAAAAAAAATAAACTTCTGCAGACAATAAAAAACAACAGACAAAAATGCAGTGTTGTTTATTTGATAATGACTTACAGTTTGGGATGGCAGGGAAGTGGCTTTTTATATTGTAAAGGAGAAGTAAATAAGCAATTTACTTTTAGGTCAAATAAAAACTTCCGCTTATTGCTTGGGTTTATATGAGGCAGGCACATTTCTATATTACTAGCAATTATATAACAGGTCATCGTGTAGCTCAGAGGGATGTAGAATAATTAAATTGTTATTGTCAAACGTGCGTTTCACTTCAGCATTGTATAGAATGAACAGAAGGCAAGAGCATTGCCTTTGGGAAACCTGTAACCTAGAAAGGACACAAATACATAAAACAGATTCCCTTTGGGAGAGAAGGTAATTACCTAGTTTGAAATGTGGCAAAGATGCTGAGCTTGACACTTGGATTTTCCAAGACGTGTGTCTCAAGGTATTTTATGACAAGTGGTTAAGAGGACCTTACTTTGAGGATTTAAAGCAGGCACCTTCCTTGGCGCGTTCGCCTTTCACCCTATCCAGGTCACCATGAACTGACTATGAGCGCCACCTGCTGGTCATCACCTCAAGACTGTCCCAATGGAAGACCAAACTAGATGGATATGCTTTTCAATTGTTATATAAAAATTGGCAAGCGCCAAAATGTCTTAATGTGTTTAATTATTAAGACATCAGAAACATGCACCTATTTCACAGTTAATTAACTAGATTTTTTTTTAAACTTCCATCACTAAGGTTTGTTTTTTTTTCTTCTAGAGGAGAAATAATTAAGTGATGGCTCCCTTGGTCTGTAAAAGTGGTTGGGAAAGCTGGCTACTTAAGGTGGCCTATTTAAAACATATCTAATTATATTGCATATCAACTCAGGTGTCAGTAGGGTACTGCCAGTGAGGGAATGTTTGCTCCTAATTCACAAAGGGCATGTGGTTCTGAAATTGTAATCCCCGAATCAGCAGTATCATCGTCACTTTATAATTTTTTTTTTTTTAATCCTCACCCGAGGATATTTTTCCATTTTTTGTACAGATAGAGTGGGAGGGAGAGAGAGGAAGGGAGAGAGAGAGAGAAACATCGACGTGAAGGGACACATCGAGTGGCTGCCACCTGCACGACCAACCAGGGCCGGGGACAAACTGCAACCGAAGTACGCGCCCTTAGCGGGAACCGAACCCGGGTCTCTCTGGACCGCAGGCTGATGCTCTAACCGCTGAGCCAAACCGGCCAGGGCTCATCGTCACTTTAAAACTTATTAAAAATGAAGAGTCGTGGGCTCCACCTCAATTGGAGTGAATCAGAAACTTTGGGGATGGGGTCCAGCAATCTGTGTTTTAACGAGTCCTAAAGATGATTCTGACTCATGCTCAAGTTTGAGAATGGCTGTTTCAACCACCACCACCCCCCCTCCACCCTCACTCCCAGGTGGCAGATCATGCGCTCTAAGTTGTTAGTAGTTAATACTGGACACAAATGTTAATCATTGAGTAACTTTTTTACATGTAGACAAACACTGCCTACCCATAGTCCCTACACTTTAAATTTTTGCTTTTTTTTGGTCTCTCAGTGAAGAGTTGTCATCTACCAGATCAATCACAATTCAACCCATTTTAAATCATATTAACATGAATTATAATGGCAATAGTAGTAGATTTTTAGCTATGCAACTATTTTCTGAGTATTCGGTGAAAATAAAAATGATTCTTGCCTTGGACATGTAAACTTTATTCTCAATCTTCATGGCAGATTCTTAATCTTAATCTTCAACACACATAAGATTCGAGAACCCAGCCAATACCTTTGCCATCTCAAAAAAGCAATAATGAGCATTTCCCATCTGTCAGTGGCACCATCTTGCAGAATTGCGAATGCACAGGCAGAGTCCTTGTGGCAAGTCATCCGGGGGCCCCAGATGTCTAACCCACAACTGACTTGAGAAGAAGGGAATAAAAGAGAGAGAGACTTCCTAGGGACCAGATCCCAGAGTTACCCTGGTGATCCTTGACCGAACGTCACCCACGTGCCCTAGACCCAGAGCCAGGGGAACCAGGCGCCTGCTCCCTTCCCCAGTCCATGCCTTAATTCAGCTGTTTGCTGGAGCATTTTGCTCCCTCTCACCTCAGTAATGTCTGATGTCCAGAACCAGCTTCCTTTTATTGCAGTCTCTAACATTACCACTGCTTCTCGGGGAATCTTAAAGTTCCACAAAGTTAAGATAGAGCGGTGGCTAAGGAACTTTATCATCCGAAGACTTGGAATTGAATTGTGATGACAATGACTTTTTCAGTTAACAAACATTTATATAGCACCATGTACCAAGTACTCTTCTAGGTGCTTTACAAATACTAACTCCTTGAATCCACGTAACAGCCCGACGTGGCCGTTTCTGTTCGTTACCGTCCATCGTTTGCTGTTGGGGACACTGAAGCACAGACAGTTCAGTAACTTGCCTAAGGTTTCACAGCTGATAAATGACAGTCAGTAGTTGGCTCTACCCGAGAGCCTTTGCCTTGTACTCTGCTGCCTCTCCCGGACTCACCAACCTGAAGTTCAGGTTCATCGCCTGCAAAATAAAAAGTAATACCTTTATCCCCAGGTTATTTAAAAATATCTGAGTTTAGTCTAACCAGAAATGTACCCACAACACTATGAGATTAACACCATAATAAAGAGACGTCCAAGTGCTACGGAAACACAGATAAGGGAACAATTAAATTGGCCTTGGGACGGCTAGCTGGAGTAAAGAGGAAATGACATTTGAAATGACCCTGGACCAGAAAGAAGGCAAAAACTCAGAGAGACCTTGACCTTTCAGAGCAGGGTGTCAGGCGAGCACAGGGTTTTCAAGCGGGCGGTGCTGGCGGTGCTTTGGCTGGAGAGAGGCTGGGGCAAGTGAGGAAGCAGGTAGGGCAGGCGGGTTTCCCCAAATCGAAATCAAAACACAGGAATCTGAGCGAAGAGGGAGGAAGAAGGGTGGAGAAAGGAGGGCCTGGAACATCTGTGTATGCCAAAAAGTAAGAAAATGTTCAAAATAGTAATATAGGCACGCCACAAGGACAACGAAGGCAGCTTGAAGGGGCTGTCAAGGCCACATCTGGGACAATTTGACCACCAACATAGTTAAGGACAATCACAAGTTAGAAACCACTGGCGGGGGTGGTGGGCGGAGAATTTGTAAGTTAATACCAGTAAATAAATGGAGAGAAGGGAGGGCTGTTGTTTATAGCAGAATCTTGAGTTCCAACCAGTAAATGTGAAGAGAGTGTGGGAGTCAGAAAATCACTTTGCAATTACCATGGTAAGATGACGGAATCAAGCAAGAATTATCAATAGCTGCTAAATTTCAACAAAGAAAGAGCCAGATACTTGGATGTTCTTAAAGTGCTTTCCCATATGTAGCTTATTCATTGCGAGGGGGGAAATCAGTAATTACAGAGGGAAGAACTGGATAACACCTGAGCAGGTAGGTGGCCAGTGAGGGGCAGATGAACACTGTGGCCTCCAGATGGGGTACGGTGTAAAGGACACTCATTTTAGTACTCTGGCTGAGTATGCGTAATCTGAATCTAGCTAGGAGGCAAATTATCAGACAAACTCAAAATGATGAACTTCGCACTTTAAAAGGCCAGCAGTAGACCTTATTCTTCAAAAAATGTCAACATCGTAAAATACAATGACAGGCTGTTCCAGATTAAAGAAGGCTACGGGGACCTGACCACAAAATCCAATACCTTGCTCCATGGTGGATCCAGGGCTGGAGGGGAAATTGCTCTAAAGGACATCATTGGGTCCATTGATGAAACTGGACAATCAGTTCAAAGTATTGCACAAATGGTAAATCTAGTAAAGCTGATAACTGTACTGTGGTTCTATGAGACAATGTCCTTATTATTAGGAAATACACACTGAAATATTTAGGAGTAAAAAGTCATAATTTATTCTTTATTTTAAAAATTTTTATCCCTCCTACTTTGTTACTCTTTTTTAAGATTGCTGTAGCTGTTCAGGGACTTTTTTGGTTCCATATAAACTTTTGCAGTGTTTGCTCCAGTTCTGTGTAATCTGTCACTGGCATTTTAATGAGGATTGCATTGAATCTATAGATTGTTTTGGGTAGTATGGACATTTTAATGATGTTAATTCTTCCAACTCATGAACAAGGTATATGCTTCCACTTTTTTTATATCTTCATCTATTTCTTTTTTCAGTGTCCTTTAGTTTTCTGGGAACAGGTCCTGCACTTCTTTGGTTACATTTATTCCTAGGTATCTTACTTTTTTTTGTTGCAATAATAAATGGGATTGTTTTTTAGTTTCTCTTTCTGTGTGTTCATTATTGGTGTATAAAAATGCCAATGATTTCTGGATGTTGATTTTGTATCCTGCTACTTTGCCAAATTTATTTATTAGTTCTAGTAGATTTTTGATGAAGTTTTTTTTTATTTTTTTTTATTATTTTTGTAATAGATGTTTCTCCTTTTTTTTCCCTATTGACACCCTCCTCCCCATCCCCTCCACCCCGTCCCCAGCTTTCTTGTCTGTGTCCATCGGTTATGCGTACATGCATATAAGCTCTGTGGTTTATCTCTTCCCTCCCCCCACAACCCCCTCTTCTGAGGATTGTCAGTCTGTGTCCTACTTCTACGTCTCTGGGTCAGCCTTGTTCCTCAGACTGTTATGTTCATTATATTCCACAAATAAGTGAGATCATGTGATATTTGTCTCTCTCTGCTTGGCTTGTTTCGCTTGGGATAATACTCTCCAGGTTCCTCCATGTTGTCTCAAAGGATAAGAGATCTTTCTTTCGTACAGCTGCATAGTACTCCACTGTGTATATGTACCACTGCTTTTTTATCCATTCATCTACTGATGGACACTTGGGCTGTTTCCAGATCTTAGCTATTGTAAATAGTGCTACCATGAACATGGGGGTACATATATTCTTTCTAATTGATGTTTCAGGCTTTTTAGGGTATATTCCTAGAAGCTGAATCACTGGGTCAAATGGAAG